CCTAGTTGGGGTACAGGTATGGCAGATAGTGTAGAACCTTCGGGCGGACTACTTAAATTAGGCACTCAAAAGGTGCATGTGTAGCTATATATACCCTTACTATAATTGAAAAATATAACTATCTAATAAAACGTTCCCTGGCCAAAGAGGTTACCTTAATACCAGAAAAAAAAAAAAAGAAATATACTTAAAATAATCTGTGGTAATTATCACTACCCCTAATTATTTTTAGAGTTAGGGTTAAAAATTAGAGAATTATTTTTTTTATATAAAATAATATAGATTTACTATAAGGGCCCAATAGGGCCTAATCTTAGTTTTTATAAAGTTTTTAGGGTTCTGAATATTTTTACTTAGAGAACCTGATCCTGTTTACTTAGTACATTTTTGAGATATAGACACCCTGGTGATGATCACCACTAGTTATAGTTAGATTTATTCCTTTATTATTTTTGCACTCTATATAATTATAATTAATTGGTATATAAATATTTCAATATTTTATATAGAAATTAAATTTGTTAATTAAATTAATTTTTTTTTATATATGTTGTGCCTCAGATGCATCCTCATATCGGATTAGATCCGATGTATATTAGATGCCAATTTTCAGGTTATGCACGTCACCTGTCAATTGGTTATTTGATATACATAAGTTATAATTTGATACAAGATCATCAAAATCTAAAGATTTAGATTATTGGCAATATTAGTACTAATACTTTTCTTATATGTTTAGCAGGCTTTGGGTAAGCTTTTAAATTTTCACACTGCTTTTTTTTTTTTTTTTTTTTTTTATTAATAACTATTCTTTCGAGTAAAAATTAGTTGTTGGAATCATGTTTTAAATTACATTGCCAATTTACGCTAATTTTCATTGTTAGAGTTGTAAGTTTATCACAGATACATTTATATAACCTTACCCAAAATAGAAATGATTATTATTGTTGTTATTTTTTATTAATGTTAACAAAGCTAAGGTTAAGGTTAGAGTCAAGAATAGTATTAGAGTTAAAGTAGGCTTTAAAAGGTATCTATACCAAAATTTTGCAAGAAATTTTTTTTATTATAATACAAAAAATAGTTTTATATATAAAATTTCAAGATAAAGATGATTTTTTTAAATAGATAACTGTTTTTTAAATTTGTAATATTACACACTGATTATTTGTATAGCATCAACATATTTGATATTGATTAGCTATAAACCGGTTTTCAAACTAGTTTAGGGGCATATAGATACATGTAGTTTATTACTTGTGTGTCATTTTATTACCTCTTTTCTTTCTTTTTTTTACTTTTTCTGTGAACACTACAGGTATAATTTCATAGTTAAAGTCATGGCTTTGGAGCTATCATCATTAAAGTTGATAAGTTATTATTTTTCAGTATTTATTAATACTTCTTTTTGGTATGATTCGTTACTTTAAAGCTGTTGCCATTATTAAATTAGTAAGTTTAGCACTTATGTCATTATATTATCTTTTTTTTGCTTTTTTTTATACTACTATGCCTCTTTCAGGTGTGATTTCATTGTTGAAATTGTCGCTTTTGGAGTTTTTGGAACTATCATCACAAAAGTTAGTAAGTTTATTGCTTGTGTATTATTATATTATCTTTCTTGTTGTTTTTTTCTGTATTTACTAATGCTTGCTATTGAAGTATTGTTATTGTTGGATTCAGATCTTGTGTATCATAATGCTGTTTTTTTTGTATTTACTTGCACTTCTTTTTCAGATGTGATTTCGTTATTAGAGTCTTTGCTATTATTGGAATTATTGGTGTCATTATGTTAGATTTAATAATATAAGTTGTTATTTTCAAGTTTTTACTGTTTGTTGATACTTATTTCTTGCATTTGTTTGTTCTAATTTTGGTGCTTGGATTTTTATAGTGAGAATTTATAGTTATAGTAGTTTATTACATCTATATTGCAAACACATAGTAGTACAATTCAATTATATTTTTAATTAGATATTTAGCAGATAATATAATTCATTAATCATTATGATTTTATATATATATATTTTTAATAAAAAATCAAATTATTTAATAAAAATTTTGATAATTAAACAAGTGATTTTAACAATGCATTAGTTTACAATCTATGCATCTCAGATTACAACTTATACATGTCAAATGACCAATCAACGGATGACATGTATTACCTGAAAATCAGTATTTGATATATATTAGATCTAATCTGATACAGTAATGCATCTAAAGCACAACATATATAATATCAAAGTAAAAACTTTATTATTTTAATTATACTAATATTATATAAAAGATTTTTAAACTATATTTGTATTACTTAAAAGTTATCTAATACAACTAGAGATAGCAAATATTTTAAAACATCATACTTTAAAACATATTTTAAATATTTTAAAATTTTTAAAATTTTTAATAAAAAGCAATAAAAATTAAATATATATTTATGGAAAGCTAAGTAGATTACAACCATGTGTTCGATGGATATGGTACTACTAATTTGGACAGATCTCAGGTTCTAATAACAGCAGCAGGTGACTTAAAATACAGGTTTACAGATGGCAGCAGCACCTGGCTTGAGATATAGATTAGATCAGGCTAAATATTCCAGAGTTGGTCATATAGTTAGAAAGGAATACTAACATTAAGGCGAAGCTTTACAGTAAAAATATACAAATATTGTATTTGTTATATAATTTTTATACTTGCCTAGCACATGTTATAATAGTGTATCTCTTTTTTTTTTTTGTGTTCATTTTTGTGCTATTTTTTAATAGAGGTAGCTACTATTTCTCATAAGAATTAGTATTTTCTTGTTTAGCCTATCTGGGCTTATTTCTTTGTTTTTTTTTTTTAAATTTTCTGTTTTCTCTATTTTTATTCCTTATTATTTTCTTTTTCTTGTTTTGTTTCTTTTTTGTATATGAACTTCTTTTTTTCTTGATGTACATTCTAGATTGAGAATATAGAATATTTTTTCTTTTGCTTTTGGTGAAAAAGTAAGAATGAAGAGATAAGCTCTTGGCAGGTTGACAAGGTCTTTTAACTTACATGTAGATTGGTGTAACAAGTTGCTCTTGGGCATGCTAGACACAGCTGGGTAATGTTGGGCTTGCAATCATTATACTGTCATTATTCATTTCATTCAAGTTTGTTTAAATAAAGTATTGTATTTGAGCTCTGGCAAGACTGTCAAAGAGTTAAAATATATATATATATATATATATATTTATTAATCTATTATATTATAAAATTTTAATAACATGAGTATGTCTAGTGATATATAATAAAAAATACAAAAAATATTTTAAAACATGTTTTAAAATATGAAAAAATAAAAAATATATTTTTTGCTATCCCTAAATATAATATTATACTCTTATTTTTTACAATACTATTATTAATTATTTCAAATTAATTTCAAGTTAGAATAGGTTGAAAAAAAACTAATATATGTTTTAATATTATAATATACATGTAGATAATAGTACAGGTTGAATAAAACTATGCTAAAAATATTAGGTTCCTGATAGGTCTTCTATATTTATATTATAGTGATATGTATATTTACTAATAAATATTGTCTGATTGATCTTTTATTATAAACAGTTCTTTGGAACAAATACAAGACTTTTTGATAATTTTTAAAATATCTATCATTGTTATATCAATTTTTTTAAGAAATCTTTGAGATACTTATCAATATCATAATGGCTCCTGTTTTGTATTTAAATAACATAATAGGCATCTTATTTTTTTAATATTACAAATAAACTTAATACATATCAAATTTTTATATGTAATAGATTGTTTACAACAGAAAATTTATTCAATATACAATATTTATACAATTTTATTATACAAAAAAAAATAATTGAATTGACAACTTGTACAGATATACTAATCTAATGATTCAAACCAAGTATTTAGAAAAAACCCAACAAAAATTCTAGAATAATACCAACATACTCTAATAGCAGCTTCAATATACCAAAAGCATACCAAACTAAAAAGCAAAACTAAAGATTATTCTAAAGATATATATTACAAATGCTGAAAGCAACAAGGAAGAAACCTAAAAATCTAAAAAAATAGAAGTTAGTATACTATTTAATACTGAAAAAAAGAATATATATGGGAAAAATACCAAAAGTGCATCATAAGTGAAACTAACCAAAGATCTATACCACAAACTACACAACAAAGATATATTCCAAAGACTTATATCACAAATGTTAAAAGCAATAAGAAAGGAAATCTAAAATAAAAAAGTTAGTGTGTTAATTAATATCAAAAAAAAGAATATATATAAAAAAAAAGTCATGAGTGTACTAGAAAGCAAAACTAAAAATCTATCTTAAAGATCCACACTACAAATACTGAAAGCAATAAGGAAAAAATCTAGAAGCCTAAAAAAAGAAGTTGTGTGCTAATTAATATTAAAAAAAAGATACACAAAATACCAAAAATGTACCAGAAAGTAAAACTAAAGATTCATTTCAAAAATCCATATTACAAATACCAAAAGCAACCAAAAAATCCAAAAGAAAAGAAGTTATAAATTAATTAATTGTTATTTTAAAGTTTATTTAAAAGTAGCAATATAATAACAAAATTATAAAACTTAATTTTATCCAAATATATATTTATATTAATCAATCTACAAATCCTAACTAGAATTATAGTTTACTATAATATTATACAATTTTTTAAAAAATTAATAGCTTTTTAAATAAAATTAAAATTTAAATACCGTATAACCGCGAAATAACGCGCAGGGATATAATTTCAATTTTTGGCCTAAATTAAGCTTAATTCGGGCCAAACTTCGAAATAACGACCCTGTGCGTTATTTTGCGGTTATACAGTAATTATATTTTTAACAAGCAAAGCAATTTATTATTCAAAAATTTAAACCTATTTTTTAACTATTTTTATTAATTTTTTTTTTTTAAATACAAATTTCTAAATTTATTAGGGAAATTAAATAAGGGATCTCCTTTAGTATAGGTGGCCAATATAGAAATATTATAAGATTATAATATAAAAACCTCTAACTCTAACACTAGAGCTAACTATAAACTTTACTATAACCCTTAACTAACCCTAACCAATCTCAAATTTGTTTAAATTAGCTCAAATACTATGTTTGGATATTATAATCTTATAATATTTCTATAGTGACTACCTCTACTAAAGATCAACCTAAATTAGTGCAAATTTGCAAAATCTGCAAAAATACAGATTTTTGCAAAGTTTTTATATTTTGAAATTTTGTACAAAACTATATTTAATTTTTGTAGCTGTAGCCAGTGTTGGAAATCTTATATTCTCATGAGAACATGAAAACATCCTTTTAAATTTGAGAACATTTGATATTCTATATATGTTCTCTATGAAAAAAATTTTAAGAATATAATAGCAAAATTTCAGATGGAAATAGAAATTTCGAACTTACCTGAAAAAAAAAAGAATGAACATAAAATATGAGAAGAGTTGAGATAAAAATTAGAACAAATGTCTGATAATTTCTGAAAATAGGGATATCATTACTTTTAGCAATTAAATATTGAGAACATAACTAAAATTTCGAGAATACTAAATCAAATAAATATTTCTCGCTGGTCTTTTCCATATGCTCTGCATGGTCAACACAGACATAAAACACGTACACACAGAAGAATTTTTAACTACAAAGCTATGAACAATACAAAATAGGAAGAATTCTCAAACCAAGTCAGCACTAATCTTGATTTTAATTATATACCCTCCTTAACTCATACTCCAGAATCTCTTGAAACTACTTGGCACAAAATTCATACTAGTATAATTACAGCTGCTCTTAAACACATTCCCAACAAAAAATTTTCTGTTCGCAATTTCCAACACACATTCTCTTCTAAAGCTACTCATCTTCACTTTAACCTTAAGAAACTTGGAAATATTATTCGACAAACTAAATATGCTTTCAAACACCAGTTACCTATCCCTTATCATCTTAATAATTCTATCTCTATACTTAACCAATCCTCTGAGTTACACATTCTTTACCTCCCAAGCTCGCACCAACTCCTTAACTCTTGGATAACTGACGCCAACTCAGAGTGGAAAAATCTCTTTCATGCTCGCAATATGGAAAATATCAAAGAAATTAGACAACAAATCTCTGAGGCTATTAATAAAAGATGCTTTAAACTTCAAACTCACCCTACTTCTATAATTAACAGTATTCTTAACTGCTACAAAGACCCAGTTAAATTTAACAACATCTGACTTGATAATGATATTATTAGTGATTCCCCAACCATTAAATCCTATATCCAACAACACTTTGAAAACTGGACTGCCGCTCGACATATTAACTCTGACATCTTTAATTTCCATTGGCAAACAGAATACAATCCCAAACCTAACATCAACCCCAACTAGTACTCCAATACCCTCTCCAACTTTACCGAGGCTGAAATTATACTAACCATTAATCAACTTCCTAACAACAAAGCTTGTGGCCCATCAGGCATTAGCTACAAAATGATAAAACATGCTGGCTCCAACTTCATCACTACTATAACATCCTTCTTTAACCGTTGCCTCCTTTCTCAAACTATATCTAAACAATAGAAAGAAGGACACATCTTTCCTATCTTCAAAAAACCAATTTTTGATGGCAACCTATCTAATACCAGACCTTTAGCCTTATAGAACATATTAAAAAGCTATACACTAAACTTCTTATAAACCGTCTCAACCTTATTCTCTTTCAACACAACATTTTCTCACCATTCAACTTTGTTGCGCTTCCTAGTAACTCCACTTCTATATCTATTCATATTCTTAACAATATAATTGAAGATACAAACTGCAACTCAAACCAACTCTGGCTCCTTTCTTAGAACATGAGTAAAGCTTATAACTCAGTCAACTTTGAACTTTTCCAAAAATCCTTATACTGAATCCAAATGCCTTAACAGCTCATTAACATTTTAACTAATCTCTTATTTGACCGTATCAACCATGTTATTATCAACCTTGGTCTTACAAATTTTTATTCAATTAAAAATGGTATTGACCAAGGAGAAACTATTACTCCTCTCTTTTGGAGAATCTATTATGACCCTCTTATTTCCAACATCTCCTCACATTTTTCTGGATACACACTCTCTACATCTTATCAAACTAGCCTTATCCATCCTTCTACAAACCATCTTAATACTTTCATTTCAGTTTTTGCCTATATAGATGACACTTTATGAATCGTCTAATCCAAAACACAGCTTGAAGAAATTACTAAAATAGCTTCCTCCTTCTATTCTATGGCTGACATTTAAGTCAATCCTACTAAATCTGTATTTATTACCAAGGAACCTTCCTCCAACCTTTCATTCCTTAACTCCAACCTGCAATCTATCCTGCCCCATCAACCTTTTAAATTTCTGGAATGCTGGTTCACTCTCAACAACAAACAGTCCTTACAAATAAGCTAATCCAAGATGAAGCCATTTAGTTAGCCAATATCGCTGGTACCAAAAACATAACAGACAAACAAATTACCTATAATATTAATACTGTTATTATTCCTACTACTGAATACCGGCTCCACAATGTTGTAATTTCCCTTTATAAATGCAACCAAATCTTGGGCAAATACCTTACTATAGCCAAACACAAAGCACACCTTTCTCGTTCCACTCCCAATAGCACACTCTCAACCACAATCTTTATAATATTCACAATATCTGGGATATACAATTACAACATCATATTAGTAACTTCCTTATTCGAATTAATAACTCTTCCACCCTTGGCACTACAACATATATTCGACTTCAACAACTTCAAAACAATCTTTGGTCCACAACTAATATCCTCCAATACCCTCACCCAATTATCGATGGCCCTAATAAACACACTACTACTCTAAAAATTATACAACTCTTTAATTATTTACATATCTCTATACACACACACTCAGACTTCTCTTGGCCCAAAACTATAAATGATAGTTATACTCCACTTGAAAACATTCTTTCAAATCACTCTAAATACAACACTTTCAAACAACAACTTAGACATAAAAATATTTTATATTTAGAGCAACTCTGTTCAGCAGACAACAAGACCCTATTAGACTGGCTACATTTATCTTCCAGAATTTTACACATTCCTAAAGGCAAAAAACCACTTTGGTTTAACTACTTAGAAAAAAATACTCTTATAGACAACTTATCTCGTACTATTTTACCTCAATTTTAACCCAAAGGCCCTAATTCTTTTGCATACCAAACCAACCTTATTCCTAAAACTCACAAACCTTGGGTTTTAACCTATTACAATGAGCATATTGTAATAGGCCAAGTTCGCAGAACCTTTATACAAACAAATACTATTTCCATAACACACTGGCAACATAATATCGATACTTTTATTTCTAACCACTACCCATTACCCCCTATCTCCTGCACATCCTGTCAAGGCTGCAACCTTAACTCCAAATGTATTTCTAGCTGCTATACCTTAGAGGTATTAGCTATTCTTTCTACCTAGTTCTTGGGAAGGAAAAAAGCCAACAAGCAACTTAACTTTAATGCAAATTATATCAACCTCATTTATTCTACTAATATCAAACACCCTATAGAAATACCACCACCTCCTTCAATTAATATTATTGACTTCTCTATATCTAGCATTTTTCACAACAATAAAGCCTCTCTTTAGCTCACCCAGAGTACACTAGCTAACTCATCTCATCATCAATTTATCTTTTACACAGATAGATCCATTAAACAACTTGGTATCGACCAATGCTCTATGGGTATCGGCTGGGTTCAAATTCACAACAATTTGGTTATACAAAATTTTTCTGCCCAAATTTCTAATTGGTCCTCTTCCTACAAAGCTGAACTATTAGCAATATTGTCTTCCATCTCTATGATTCCTCGAAATTCTAGTATACAAATCTATACTACTTATAGTCTATTATATCCAAGTACAACAAACTTATTACCTTGTCTTCTTACTCTACAAAATACTTCAAATTCAACTCCTGGCCTATTTGGCACACACTTCTTAATATCTTAAAAGCCTTTAACATTCAACTTTTCCTTTTTAAAGTTCAAGCCCACTCTGATGACACTTTTAATAATCTTGCAGATCACCTTGCCAATAACTATTCTACTTCTCCAATACTATCTTTTAACTATACTAACCCCTATAATCCTTACTCTATTTTATTATGGAAAGACATTTTGTTGACAGTCCTTCAAGACAATTCACTAAAAATATTTGCAAGGCATACAACATAGCCCTCTGGTCTTCACAAAACCATGCCCAGGAATGGTCGCACTTTTCTCATCAAATTGACTGAAATGTCTCCTGGCTATATTTCAATAACAATCAAAAAACTTCACATAACTTTACTAGTCTCAAACTAAACCATTTAAAATCTTTCAAAATCAAAATGCTACTTAATATATTACCTACACATGCACACTTCAATAATATTTATCCTCATATATTTACATCTTATATTTGCTTTTCTTGCAATAACTTAGACTCTCCCTCACACT